ACACTCTTCCGGTTGCTGTTATTCAACTTAAATTTGACGTGCTTCAAGTTATTGATCATATCTTTTACCACACATATGCCTAAATGGTCCAGTAGATATGGTTGACGTCTATGAATCAGCGACTGCCGGTTCGAATCCCGAAATGCAAAGGTAATTTTAGACTTATATTAACAATATAAATATGTTAATCCAATTAGTCAGCAACAAGTTAAAACAGTTCGATATAAATGCATAAGATATGAAGCGGTCTTCCATTATTATTTTTGGAATAAAACTAGAAGGCTGAACAAGGGTTGGAAAAGACTGTTATTTAATGCCTTAAAAAGCTTATAATGTATATTACTGTTGAGCTTTTGGCTGAATAAAATCACCAGATTTAGATGTTTAAAAGCTGGACGGTGGTCTATGTACAGCAATTATTCAATCTAAGGCTGAATTGAAATTAATTAATCAGCACTTGTTAAGCATCAAATTGTTACCTGGGTAAGCATCAAATTGTTACCTGGGTAAGCATCAAATTGTTACCTGGGATATTCTCAGTGTATGGTTAGCCATTGGTTATGTTTATCAACATAATAAAGTTAATTATTATTTTCATCTGATAACTAATCAATAAAAGAGTCTTTTGGTCTTGTTCGTTTATTTGGAAGGCTCAATCGCGTTAGTTTTACGGACCCAATAATTCGCTTTTATAACTTACTAATTTTGCTTAAATCTACGTAGTATGAATACGACTGATTACTCGCGATTTGATTCAGGAAAGAACGTTAACAATTTCGAGGAAGCATCAGGAGATGAGCATGGACATGAAATTTCGTTGTCTCATCAGTGAGTAGTCCGGATAGAATAATCGATGACAAAGATTTTTAGAAAATTATTGTTTTTTCTTAGCTACGACCAATATTAGTTGATGTTTTTCTGCAGCAGCAGTTGATCCGTACTCGTTCAGTTCTCTTGTCAAACCCAGCGTTCTGCCGGGTTATTTTAGCCTTGGCATCCCATCTTCTATTGTATTAGGTTGATTATAACATTATGTTTGATAACTACTTTTAATGATTAAAGGCAAACCAAGCCGCGGCATTTTTTTTCTTATTGTTTGAACCCTAAAGAATATTTACAGAATATAAAAGGGTTGAATTTCACTAGATTTTAAAGAATTAGAAATATGTATGTGCTTGATATAAGATTTGAAAAGGTACTTTTTTCAACAATCTCAAACCTCTGAATAACATTTACAGAGTTGGGAGGAAATGCTATACTAAATAATATCAACATGATGCTTTAGTGCGATAATTCATTAGCTAGAGAAAGTTCTGAAGAGGACAAGTTGATCGATTAATGCGACAGTACTAGTCAAACGCACCCTCTTTTTCCTAGCACACACATTAATAGATTAGGGGACTTGAGGTATTCCCTCAAATCCACAGGAAAAAGAGTGCGCGTTTGATTTACTTATACACTGTCTGTGGCTGTGGAATAGTTCTAGTGACGTTTATCGCTACCCAGAGTTGTTCCCATAGAAAAGTTTTGTTCTAACACCCTAAGCTATCATTTGGCTCAGGTTTGGAACACCCTAATCACCAGACATTGGAGGAACGAATGTGCAGAGAAGACGCAAAAAATGATTTTTAAATGGACCTACTGATTTTTTGACGCAGGACTACGTCTGTGATTTCTATATGGGTTGCACAGTAGAGTGATGCAAAATTTGAAATTTTCGCTCCACAATACTTAAACGATTCCAAATCGGATCCTGACTAACCTCTCAAAATTTGACCCCATTTGGTGAGAAACTGAGATGGCACAAACCATTTGAAGTTCGTATGGGGATTACTATGGTAAAACCAAGATTTTTGTTCATGTCTATCTAATAATTCACAATTTCGGTTTACTTCAAAAACTTTCAATTGTACTTGTAGGAAATTTTTCCAGCTACAACTTTGCTGACGACCACTTTTTGATTAAATGCAAGGATCGAAAGTTATCAATGGTTCAATGCGCTGATGTCTTATGATCATGCTCAATCAACGGCTCAGCAGGCAACATTGGTGTTTCTGGGGCGTTGAATAGGAAACAAAAATCATGGCTACTATGTCACACTGCAAAATACAGTGTTGCCTACAGAGCAGCTGCTTGATCATGTCATAAGTTTACCAATCTCTTAAATAATTGATAACTTTTTCTTGTCTCGTTTTACATAGAAACGGTCTTCAGCAAAGTTGTAGCTGTGAAAATTTTCTTTAAGAATGGGTGTTGAACTGTTTCGCAGCTCAATATGGAAAAAGACTAGAAGGAAATGAACAAAAAGTTGAGATTTCCCATAGTAATTTACATGTAAACTTCAAATGGCTTGTGCGAAGTTTGTTTCTAACCAAATGAGTTGTAACTTTGGGAGGCTAATCAAGATCCGATTTGAAACCATTTAAGCACTGTGGAGCGAAAAAGTCAAATTTTGCATCAGTCTATTGCACAGTCATCAGAGAATCATTTCTAGACGAAACATGTCGAAGTGGCATTCGCCTCCAATCTTCGGGTGTGTGCGAATAGGAAGGATGCAAGTGCGTAACATTTTGCACACTCATCGCCATATTCAGAACCACACGCCCCCAACGACCACACAAAATGCTCTCCAGAGTTGTAATCTTGTAACCAAACTTGGAAGCAGGGGTGCAAGAGATTTTGATCGATTCTCTTCATCGACTTTCTTTTTCGTTAATAACTCGACGGCAAACATAATCATTGAAACGTACGTGCGAAATAGGTTGGTGAATCCATGGTCATAAAAAAAGAAATCGATGAAGAGAATTCACTTTCGCCCCTTTGCTTATAATTCCCTTAATTCAGTCTAGAAAATCAGAAAATAAGTAAAAGTGCTAATTTATCTGAACAGGCACAGAGAAGAACCATGACGTGAAACAGAATCGTAAATACGACGAAAAAAGTGTTAAGCGTCTTATGCTAAAGGCTACTTGTTGAGAGAAGGAGTTTAACGAGAAAAACTAAAAAGGGGAGGAGCTTTAGCTGGGTGGACACTGATATTCTGCGGCCTTCCAATCTGTCGCAGACACCAGTTCAACCCCTGTCCAGCAGCAGACGGGCCGAGACTCTTGCGAGTGCCCAATCATTGAACCGAAGAATATGGGATTGTCCGGTCCAATTTGCTGATACAGCTGCCTACACGTCATCATCGTCTTCCAAAGGCTTTCAGCCTGTACTACCAAGATTTTCGAAAGGAGTTAAATTTCTGAATATTTCCCAACTAAAATTCATATCAAAAGGTTCTTTTCAGGGCAATCATAGTCATACTAAAGAGTAAAAAACAGAGAACACCCCGCACACCGTTATAATTCAGTGATCATTGACCAAACAATTAAAAAAAAAAGTAAAACATTGCCGAACTACATAAGAGACCTTCTCCAGTACAGATTTTGATTTTTAATTCCAAGACAAGGGGTAGGTCACTCCGCACACCAATCTTGGGTCATCTTTTTTGTCAGTGTGTCACAAGTGTTCCGCAGGTGTGCCGATTGCGCCGGTCATAGAGCAAGCTGCGATTGTTTGTAAAATACCCAACCCGGCAACCCGGTATTTCTGACACCTTGAATGTTTTGGTTTGAAATCGCAAGGATAAATCGAATTGATGATGACGTGGGAAGTGGCTGGTGTGCAAAGTTTTGATGTTTTGTTTTCATAGAATAATAAAAGTCCTGTGTTTTAGGGTTTTATATTGCCCTCAAAGGCAGACCAGAAATCTAGCCTTTCGTGATATGAAAAGCAACGGTCTATCAGCGGCCGGAAAGAGTGGGAACCGGTGGGGAACATTGTTGGAGACCGACTTTAGAGGATGATGAATAGACTTCTGTAGTTTGTTTTGTGTAAATTGCAGCATTATTTGACTTAAGGGTACTAATGGGGTCTGATTAACTGCCTCTTTCTCTTGAGCCCACTCTAGAACCTACATTTCGTATTTAGATCTATAAGTCTGAGTTCCTCTGGTATATTCAATGAGAGGATGTTCCTGAATATACAGTCAAACAACACGTAATGCTGTGAACACTTTCAATGACAGTTGTTCAGTAGTGCTCTCATTTTATTTACAAGCTGTGCCGAATCTAATTTCGGCACAATGTGCTGAGTGACTTACCCCTTGTTCCAAGATTATAACTTTTCTACAGCAATTTATAAGTTTGTACATATTTTTAACATCGTCTAGTAGTTTGTCAAAACTGAATTACTGGCCGTAATTGTGTGATTTTCTCGCAAAAATATTGATGCAACAAAATATTAAAACCGCTCTGGTTAAAAAATGGGTTTGTTTAGACGGGACAGGCCTATTTGAATAGCAGTAATAATCGGCACACAGCGAGCACGTTCGTATCACCTTTAACATCTCTCTTCTGTCATTCTCCTTCTTTACCTGCACTTCTCAAGTAAAAAACTGATTATCATTTTTCTCCTATACCTTAACCAAGATACTACACCACTTGTGTTTTTGTTTCCATTTTCGAAGCCATTTGAAAGCCCATATTGTCTTTTATTGAAATCTCATTTGTTTTTATTTTTCTACACAATTATGCAACAATGATTGTTTGAAAACATACAAATTCGATGGCGCCTCCACGCAGTTCGCTACTTACTGATGGTTTGAAGCAGCACATATCAGTAAACCTTGAATCAATTACTGATTTGAAGCTGGTTTCACGCGCCCAAAGAGCGCATCTAACTTACTCTAACTAATACAGTTTAAATCTAACTTTAATCGCTACAGTATGCTCACAGAAGTTTCAAATGCAACTACCAAAGCAAATGCTGTCTATATTTACATCCTCTAAATGGAAAAATTGATTTTTGGTAGTTGCTTCAAAAATTTAGACACATTATTATTGATGAAAAAACTTTGACTACAGATAGCAACGATTGACGTTTGGTTTCAGCTCGTAGTAGGCCAACAACAACCAATCGAAACCAATTGCACTGACATAAAGAAATGAACAACTCCGCTGATTGCTGCTCAGCTTGCTGCGATCGGTGAGCGGTGTTTAACGATTGAAACCATGCAATCTCCGTGGAACAAATCCGGCATGGGTCAGCACGTTGTAGATGTCAGCTCGGGAGATTTTTTCCGCATGTCGTTCCCGAACCAGTTCCTCTCCGGGGCCAATCCAACTGAACCGGGCCAGCGCATTGGCCACCCGTGGCGTCCGATAGAAAGGGTTGCGAAGGTAGTCCGGCAGCAGGGCTTCCTGGGCATCGTTCTCCAGTACGGCAGGGTGGGCGTAGCGAGAGATGCCCAGCGCGAGTAGGATGGATTGCAGCAGGCAGAACAGTTTCAGCCACCTGGAAGGCAGGAAAAAAGTTCAATCAATACAATGTATCAATCTCGTGTGATAAAATTCAATGACGAAAAGCGCCTCCGGGCACATCAACTCCCCGTGAAATCGACTTCACACACGCGTCAATGCGTAACAAATGGCAATCGTAAATAATATATAATTAGTTGTAAACAACCTATAATTGATTAGAAAAATTATAATCGATAAATGGTATTATTTATGTTACACTTATGCTCGTGTCTGCAATTTTCCTCAATTAATCATATTAATCTGCAGGCCTCATGCTCGGGCGTCGGTGGATAGGCTTTACCGTCCGTCGTCTACTAAAGCGCTTTTTCTCTTTCTTACATCTCGTTTTGGAGCCTGCTTTGTGGTTTGCTTCCTCATCCCGGCAGCATCGCAACGCAACGCAACGGTCGGCAAGCTCTCTCTAGCAACCACAACTCGGCGCTACTGGCGGTCATCGCCTACTGAGGCTGCTACCCAGCTTCATAAAAGTAGTGTTAGACCTGAGTGCCAGCATCTCCGATTGTGGGTTTTAATTCTATGGATTATTTTTTGAGCACCAATCGATAGATCAGTTGCTGCAGTAAACTATTATTGCAGTGAATCACATCATTTAAGCAGTTTAAAACTGCGCTTCATACCACTTGAACTTTACCACGGAGAAATTTTAATGAGATTAAAATAATAATAAGCATTTCATTAAATATATATGTAATTAAAAATTTATCCAATAATACATGGATACTGCATTCGATAGTTAATATTAATTTTAATTTATATCATTTTTTGTTTCTGTTAGACAATAATCCTTTTACACCACTATTTAAAAAAAAAAACAAGAATTGGTTTTCTTAACAAAGATAATACCTACGACGTGAAGGTTCAATTCGCGATCCAATCGGTGAATCTCTTTTCGTATAGAAGGAAATTTTCCCATTATTGTGTGTTCTGTATTGTCCTTTGTCTAGTGTTCAATGTTTAGCTAATGAAGACATTTTCACCTGATTTTAAATTTAGGCACCATTTTGGTTTATCGGTGTATAACCTTTCTCAGTGGTTACGCCTTGAGTCTTTCAGCTCCAAAATCGATAAAGGATTGAAGAGCTACTACTGTAAAAATTCCCATTGCCGAAATTTAGCAAAAAATATCAACACCGCTTTGGTCAACCGAAAATTTAGATTTTTTCAATCCAAATTCAAATCAAGATTTTCTGTGCTACATTATTTGTGTACCGCGCCTTAATGGTATATTTTGCAAGACTTGCCCCCTACTGCTTGATATTGAAGTAACTGTATTGAAAACTATTGCAATACGTTGAATTTAATATCAAACTGCACCTGTCTGGAATGGAAACATTAGAAGACTTTAGTGCAGCGTTTCTCAATGTAAGGATCACAACCCACCGATATTTTGGAATTTTTAGGACATTTATGCTATTTCCAGGCCCTTTAGAAATTTAGGAACATCTTAGCCATTTCACTGTTTGGGCTAATGTTGGTGATTTTAGGACTATTTTGACTATTTCAAGATTCTAGTGAGCGTTGCCGTTTTATTATTATAAAAGTTGTAAGGCCGTTCAAATCAATCCTATCCACCATGACTTAAATCTATTAGTATCTTCTATACAATTCCACATACAGATAAAAAAAAATTTGAACTTGGCTCACTAGTCTAACTGCGACACTTCTACGCGTACTATGCACATACTAGACGAACCAAGACTTACCCCAACCCGGTTCACAGCAGATCGCTTTGAGCTAAATTTAGCACCTTTATCGCCTGACGGCTTCCGTTAGGTCCATCTACATGAAACCTAGCAGCGCTCTGTCGGCTTCAGTTCGAATCTCACTCAGACGATGCGTCGTCGTCGTCGTCGATGTCCATCGCTGGCGCAGATCTTGTTTCTGGCACCAGAGAGCGTATCAATTACAAAACTTCTGTGCATAAATAATAATGACTAATGGGCCGGAAAATTATAGGCTATGCAGATTGGTTCAGTCTTCCCAACTGGCAGCCATATATGATGTTTTGATTGGTTTAATGACGATCTAATGGGAAATCTATTACTGCCATAAATCAAATATTTTGAAAGGAAAAGATGCAGTTTCGATGTACGAGTTGGCTGGCACTGTGTTTCTCTTGATTGGAGCCCAATTTGAAACAATTTCAGCCAAGTATGGATTACAAAAAAATAGATTTCAGATAATCACCGTTCTAGTCAATGACGATTGACTGCCAGCCAGTGTCCGCCTCTCGCCAATCCACGCCAATCCCAAATTGACCATAATCCGTGCAAATTTGCCAACCTAATTGCATCCCTGTTCGTTAGTTCGCTTTAGTAGATTGGTAGGTACCTACAACATACACCACGCCGTCTTCGCCTTCTTCTTCGGTTGCGGTAGTTCCACCAATAGCCTGCAATTACCGACTAAGTGATCCACTTAGTTCAGCGCTCTCTTTGGGATCGGTTACCGACTTGGCGTACTTGGCTACTTCATTATTTTGTTTCACGATGACTATGATCGGAAGATCGGTCGGGCACACTCAACGAACCGAGCGTGAGCGAGCGTCGAGGGTTGGATAGTAAAATTTATGTTGTACTTGAAGTAGGCGACGACCCGGTATTGGCGCATTCGGCTCATCATCACTTCCGACCTCAGTGTGGAGAATTTGAATTGCGTAGTAACGTCATGGACGGACAATTGGCAGTGAAGAAATGTGCGGGTGAGTATCGTGATCGTATGGAGTTCGAAAGAAATCGAAAATTTTGGTCTGCTGGTACGTGAACAAATTGAAAGCGACAAAGCAGTATCTTGATCTCAATGAATCATCAACATCAACATCATTTGGAAAGATGCACCTTGAAACATACAGATTAATGCAACATTTTAGGAAAACTAAAAATCATATAGGTATAAGGGCGATCTACTCATTTGTAAGCATACTCAAACCCTTAGCATGCGAACGCAACCACCATTACATCTTTTCTGTATAGTAATTAAAACGCACGATTTCAATTAGGTGATTCCATCTAAACAAATGAATTCCGTTTTCCTCAGCCGGATGATCATCGCCTACTTGATACAACCGATGGTTTTGCGCGCCACTATAAACATAAACAAGACTCTCGTGCATGCCTTTACTAAATCTACTAGTTATGCCTGCATGGCTTAAGTGGAACTTAAAAATTACCGCATTTCTGCCCGTTAATGCCCGACACGTTTTTAAGTTTTTTTTTCATTATCTTTTTGAAAGTTACCGCACAGCAATGCAACCCCCATCTTCAGCCGTCAGGCGTTTCTCGGCAACATAAAGCTAATGACCATTTTCGCTCCTAGTTTATAAAATATCCAAAGAACGAATCGATCGCAGCTGCAAAAAGTTCAAAAGACTTCTCCGATGTTTAAGGTCAACTTGTTGGGTAAACAAAAGCGCGTCGCCCGTACCTACGTTTGTGGCACGCGACCCGAGATCCAAGTAAACAACGACAAGTGGCGCTTCATACGGTGGGGGGGGGGGGGGGGGGATAGAGGCGAAGCGAACCTATGGGGGCTATGATCGCAGCGTGCGTAGTGATTTTTTTATGCGTGTTCGGGTGTCTGTTGTTGATTGTTGATATCTATGCTGGATATTAATTTTCTACATTGAACGGAGATCCAAAGTTGTGGTTCTTCAGAGAAGCTTGTCCAGAACATTCTTTATTTTTTCCTTCCGATTTTGACAATGCTTTTGACGGACTTGACGGAAAAATTGATGCAAATTTAGGTGCTCTGAGACTGACATAACGAGCGTCAATTTTGACGTAAAATTGAGTCATAATAGACGCGAAATTCAGCTCAATCACACTAACTTTCGAACTATTCAGTCTCGGAGCACTTAGTTTTACGTGACATGTTTGTTTACGTGTCATCTTTTATGTCAAAGCTGGATTCCATCACGTGTAAGATTAGGTATTTCTAAGTGTGTATTACGTGAAATAGCCGTTCTTGTTTTCGATTTTTTGAAAATATTTCAGTCTTAACAAAAATCAGGACCATGGATTTAGAGAAAAGGAATCAAATTGCAAACTAAGCTAAATATTCATGATCCCGGGTACACACAAAACAAAATCTAATTTATGGATCTATACTCCAATATTTCATATAAAATACAACCTATATTAAGTTGCATAGAATATCTTAATACCGTAATTCCATAGAAAAAGAGTTAGAGTGGATCTTAGAATTTCGAAACAATTAGAAATTTTGTTGTTTATCAAAAAATATTGGACCCGCATTAGGGTGGCCCTTTTCGTCTCATAGACACTGAAGAAGTTTGCAAGTACTTATAGGTTTTTTTTTAAAGTGATAGTGAAAGTGAATAGTACAAGTTAATACTGTTTGTGAATTGTGAAAGTGAATAATAAAAGATAATAGTGAACGTGATACAATAATAGGTAAAAGGCACTATAACATGTTATATTTCTCACGTAACATTTGAAAAGGGCCTATGTCTAAAATTTAAACAAACCAGAAAATGAATTGAATTTTTTTTTTCTTGATTTGTTTTCCGTCGATCTTGTTTTCCGTGCTGAGCACCAATGCTACCGACGCCAGGGAGGCAGCTCCCACACCTGGACCCTACCTATCGACCCATCAACTAGGGGCTGTTAATAAACTATGTAGACAGTTTTTTTTTTAATAAACGCATGGGGAGGGGGGTCAAGAATACCAAAAAACTGTCTACGTAGTTGAACAGCCCCTAATGAACCAGGGACCAACGACTTTACTTCCCTTCCGAAGGAAGGCGTGATCAGAGATGTTATGCCTCAGAACATCCCGGCAACGCCGACTGGGATTGAACCCAGGCCTGCTGGGGAATTGAAATTGTTTCGCCGCTATTTCAATTCATATAGCGTAAATTATGACTTCGGCACCCATTGACTGTTTTCGGCAACCGAAATTGAAACGTTTATTTCAATGTATTCGCTGAATGTATTCAACCGATTCCTTACCCTT